GCGCGGAGCGCCGTTCCGGGCGTTAGCCGTAGGCAAGGGTGGGCGTTAGCCGTAGGCAAGGGTACTAATTCCGCCCGGCTATTTACACCCAGGGAAAGGAAGCATTAGCGAAGTCTAAAGTTCATCAATGATCATGAGCGCGTGACTATGGTTCATGGGTGGACCTTCTCACTGATCTCAAAAATATGGCTGTTTGCTTGGAGTGGGATAAACACACAGAGGATATTAAAGCAAGATTTCAATTTTCAAAAGCATATATTTGGAAAATCACGTTTCACACAATGAACTTTTTCAGCTTTGGAGCAATTTTTGCTTGAAGAAATGAGAAGAATTAATTTATTATGGAAAATCGTGAAATATAGGGCAAGTTGGCTTTGAATATGTTTAATATTTATGAATTACGAATTTTGTTGCTTTAATAATTTATTGTGTTAAACATGCACTGCTGTTTTACTCTTCAATGAATGAAGCTGTACGTTTCCTAAACTATTCTGTTTAATTTAAGAAAAAAAGGTAAAATGTAAAGGAGAGCAAATTAATTTGAAGACCTTACTGAAATTACTCAACAATTTGAAGTAAAACAGTTTATCGGCAAAGGCAGTTTAGTTATTAAAATGAACATTTGAAAACATTCTACGAAGCGATTCAGGTTAAATTTTACATTAAATCAAAGCTCACAAAATCCAGAACAACATACCTACAGTACATATTTCGGAAAGTCATTGTTATATAGTTAAAGCGATGATCTTTAAACTATTTTTGCCGTGTTGTACAAAAGTATAAATGTATAATAGAAATTAAAAATTTTAAAATTATCGTGTTGCCATGGCAACGCTGACGTAAATGCGAGCCTGCGTTCAGTGTTGATCAATTACTAATACTTCATGTTAAATCAATGTTTGGAAAATATAGGTGAAGGGTTGCTGCATACAGGCTGCATGCATGTATTTCTAGTTATAAACTGCGAGATGAGAAAGTTGAGATCTAGTATACCGATCAAGCGGACGATTGATTTGCTTGAGATGAGGGGGCCTTACCCGCTGTAAAGGGCGAGTCTCTGGTATTGTATTCGACTTCGGAAGAGGAGGTTGAACAACCTCGAAACCTTCGGATTCCCTATCAGGACAAGTCAACTTACCCGGTCATTTGGGCAGAAAACATGGTTTTAAATTGTGTTTGTGATGTTACTCTGAGTGTATATCCACACCGGGCAAGCTTGAAAAGTATGCCTGCCCACGGTGTGAATCGAAGCTACCGAACACTCAGAGTAACATCACAAACACATGATTTCATTCATGATTTAAAACCATCATATTCACCTGACTACAATACACCAACACAGAAAATATCATGATTACTAGATTACCTTGCTATCTATGCAATCGCTCTGCGCCCTCTCCCCTTTCCTCCCAGCTCCCCACTGCCCACCGGGCACACGACGTTGTTTCAACGTTGAAATTTGGTAGAAAAAAGGTTGCGACGTCGACAACCTAATATCTACGTTGCTCTGACGTTGTTTTACAAACATTGGTTCAACAGCAGCCAACAGACGTTGAATTCATGGTCAAATGTACGACGTCGATTTGTGAACCAATCTCAACGTTGTTTTAACGTGGATTCAACGTTGAATTATGGTTGACGAGATTGGCAACCTAATTTCAACGTTGTTTCAACGTCGAAACAGTAACGTCGATCCAATTTGCATAGTCAACCCTTTTTCAACGTCTATCCATCGTCTGGAAGGTCATTTCCAACGTTGATTCAACGTTGGATAAACGTCATTTTGCCCGCTGGGTAACGAATATCTGAGGGCCATCATAAAGCGACAAATAAATTAAATCTAAAATGAAAGACTTTAAGCTGGCAATACGATATTGTATATTATGTTCCATAAGGTGACTTGTTTTTCATAAGAGCTTTGTTTCCTTTTGATACAGGCTGTAATTGTTACCACAGCGGTGAACATATTGCGTCAACTCACTTTTGAACCGTTGGTTGAGGACAAAAATGTTAAACATGAACAGCGAAAGAGTCTTCAAGCCATTGACGACTTCGACATCGCAACGTCCACCAGGATCATTCTGCAAACAAAAAGAAGATTCTGGGAGGACGCAAAGTACAATATCCAAGGTGGCTTTTCCAAAACTAACCTCCCTATCGGCAAAATTTATTACGTCAAGCCGGACCCGGAATATGTCGAGTCCACGAAACAAGGAATAATTCTGGTATACACTTTGAAGAATGACGCACTGATTTTTGGTTCCTTGACGAAAGAGCAAGTCAAACTGGAGGCAATTGAACAAATCGCAGAATTTCACCCCGAAATCAAGGAGGAAGATATGATTGAAAAATATTTTGTTCATGGTTGGTCCAACCAGCCCTCTTACCGAGGTTGCGTTGCCTTTTTGAAGGCCAATCAATTTAACAATGTCAGGTAGGAATCAGAGAAAATTGTATGATGTGAAAAATGCCTTATCTTGTGGTATACTTAGAAAGATGTTATTGTATATCTTGTAAGATAAGATGAATTCCTAATGAGATTAATTGCGAATACCATATGTGAGAGATGAAGATTTTAATCAATTTATTTCTGCAATTCAATCTCAAGTGATGGGATGAATTCCAAGCCGCACTTAACTTTTGTGCGAACTCATTCGCCCTTCTTGTAGATGTGCAAAGATGAAACCGATATTTTGAATTCGCCTAAAACATTTACTAAATACCAAATTTTGTTTTCTCGCAGCTTATATTTCCAATCAGTTTTACTGTCCCTATAATTTTAAACGTCTGAAATTATCGATTAATACATTACAGTAAAAGTCAGTCATGTGATTTTGTTCCGTTGCCCGTTGGTATACGATACCTTGATAATGTGAAATTTTTGTATAAACGTCTTATAATTGGGAAGTACAGGAATTTTCTGAATGAAATATCTCTGCCATCTACATGCCAGAAAACTTATACCGTTGGTATTTTTTTGTTTGATGGCGTGACTGTGCGCTCGCGCGAGAATTGTTGTTGTTGCTTTAATTTCCCGACAGCAGACGACATTTCCGGCTAAAATTGCAATCGGTGTAACAGCTGGTCAATTTAAATTAAAGACAGGTATGTAGAAACCATCAGAAATCGTTTGAATTTCAGAGATACGCGAATGAAACGGAGCAATGTTTAGGGATGCACCGGAACTCGGTTCCGGCCGGTTAGTTCCGGCCGGAACCCCGATTTTATAGAGTTCCGGTTCCGGTCGGAACTAGTAAAAAAGTCTGTTTCAGAGAGATAGAATATCAAACGTTTTTGTGTCTAACAAAAGGTCATAGTAGGAAGAAATTTGGACTACACAAGGGAAATGTAGACTATTAACACTTCTTTATGACGTTTAACGCTTGTCAATCTTTTTATTCTAACATTTGCGAGCTCTCTCCTTGATGACTTGAAGTGTCTGCCTGTCTGGCAGCGGACAAAGTAACATATGACTATATATGGCTTAATATATTAGTTCCGGTTCCGGTCGGATCCGGTTCCGGCCAGAACTTAAAAAACTGGTTCCGGTGCACCCCTAGCAATGTTGAAGCATTTTAAAGAGAATTTTGCGGAAGACGTTATAACATCACTTGGGCCATTCTTAAGAACGACGAAGATGCAACCTATGCTTACAAGAGAAGCTGCAAATACTAAACTGTCGCGACGGAAATCTTCTGAACAAAAGATCAGAAATCTTCTCGAAGTGCGTGCACCAAAAGCAATTTTTAGCGGGAAATGTGGTCTGCAACATCAACAATTCTCTCGCCGCGCCGCACAGTAAAATCAACGGTATTTGAGAACAGTAAGATATCTCATAATTTCCAAATAGCGCGCACGCAAAAAAACTTTGCGACTGGGTTTCGAACCCGTGCTTCGAATTACTAGATCGATGCTCTACCAATTAAGCTACTGTACATGGTCAGGACACATTGAAGACTGGCTTATGACTGAGTATGTACGATCCGGACAGTCTTCGTGCTATTTTTAATTTCAATCCGGACCACTCGCTCTGTCAATAACATATAATACATGTGTATTTTATTCATCTATGTATATTCAGTTTTATTTTTTCGTAACTTAGAACTTTGTGGGAACCCATGGGTAACGTACATTTTGCTGGAGACGCTTTGTCATTTTCCGCTGGTTGGATTCAAGGTGCCTTGGAGAGTGGCCTCAAAGCCTCATATCAAGTTTATGCCCGTGGCAAGAAGAGAACAACCAGAAAATATTAATAATTGACACTAAGTCAATAATTTCAATCCTGCACGATGTGTCTACTTTAAGGTGGCTCCGTACAGTTGACTAGAAGTGAAAACACGATTATAAAATTGAAACACTCGCTTCCTGTGGAATCTCCGTGAATCGGTAAAAAAATTGAAAAAAGCAGAATCAAACTTTATGACAAGGAAGTTTTTCAGTCTAATTGTAAATTTTTGAAATTCAAACTATACGTATGTTGTTGCTTGTGATGTTACTCTGAGTGTATATCCACACCGGGCAAGCTTGAAAAATATGCCTGACCACGGTGGGAATCGAACCTGCGACCTTTGGAATACTAGCCCAATGCTCTGCCAACTGAGCTACGCGATCTGGTCGGTTCGAGTATATGATATTTCGGAACAGAATCTAGTTTCTTCGATATCAATGTTATCTAATAATAATCGTCATTTTTTCTGTGTTGGTGTAATGTACTCAGGTGAATATGATGCTTGTGATGTTACTCTGAGTGTATATCCACACCGGGCCTGACCACGGTGGCCACACCAACACAGAAAAAAATCAACACAGAAAAAAATCACGATTATTATTAAATAACATTGATATCGAAGGAACTAGATTCTGTTCCGAAAAATCACATACTCGAACCGACCAGACCGCGTAGCTCAGTTGGCAGAGCATTGGGCTAGCATTCCAAAGGTCGTAGATTCGATTCCCACCGTGGTCAGGCATATTTTTCAAGCTTGCCCGGTGTGGATATACACTCAGAGTAACATCACAAGCATCATATTCACCTGAGTACATTACACCAACACAGAAAAAAAATCACGATTATACGTATGTTGTTTCCCAGTTCTACGCTATCTTTTAATGTGTTTTCAATATCGTGTTAATAATGTTCTTTTAAAATTGATATATTATACTCGATAGGAAAAATCGACTATTTTTGATAGGTTGGTTCATTACTACAGAATTTATGGAATGATTTTATTTTTGGGGGACAGAAGTAATACACTTGGGCCATTAACCAAAAAAAATTTGGTGCATATTTATTGAATTGCATGAGTGTAGCACCCTTGCTACTAAAGCCTACTTTTCGGTAATTGAAAATTAAGTGTTCGCAAGAAACTCGATATTGGGAAATGTATAATAGGTATGGTTCTAAAACTTTTAAGATATTATCACCACATATTGGGCTATGCAAGGAACTAGAATCAACTAGATATCACCATGCATTCATAAAAATTTTTCATTCTGAATAATGGTAAGGCAAAACGACCTAAGTTAATTGACCAAAATGTCTAGAACTTTTGTTTGGATAGTCCAAACTAAAAAATCCTAGTTCCTTGCATAACTAATAGGCACATGAATACTCAGTGAAAATTTCAGGTCAATACCATTTATAGTTTTTTAGTAATCACAAAAACTAATTCAAAAAAGGCCCGAAAATGACATATTGAGATAATGAGCCGGAAAGTTTGGTATAACTAACCAGTTCAAGTTTAAGGCTCAAAATGCCCCAGCTTCATATTTGGTACCTTCCTTTTCTGACAGGTTGTCAATATAGCCTTTTTTTCTCTGTCTTATCTTTTTTCTTTTATTTTTTTGCTTGTCAGAGCTCTTTCGTGTGGAATGGCGGAGACGGTCATAGTCTATTTTCTTGAGACACTTCTTTGTCTGACACCCCGGTTTGATCCCTAGGTTTTCCAATACATCTAGGATGGCTTTAGCTCCATTGTTGAAAATACCAACAGCTAGAAAAGTTGCCAGTTCTACAGTTGGCAGGCTTGAGTGTGTCTCCTTGGTGGCACGCTGCCAAATCAAAGCATTGAAGGCTTCGTTTTGATTCTGAGTACCACCATGGAGACAGGAAGACAGTAGCTGACTCTTGCTCAAATCTGTAAATACTGGCAATATTGAATCTGACACTGCTTCTGGTAGAGGATGACTGTGCGAGTATTCATTTGTGTTCTTGGCCAAATCTCTCTGATATCCGCACCAACTAGTTTCTCCTTTAGGACAAAGGTTGTGGTCTGGATTTGCGTCAGTAGATCTGGTATGGTGAAATATTGCCAAAACAGCATTCTCCATATCTTCAATGCTGTGTGTATTGTTTCTGATTGCTTTACCATAATACACTTGTAAATTGTCAATAACCTTGTCAGTTAGCCGACCCTTGCCACCAATACCTTTGCCATCGCTTAGATGAGTCTTTCCCAAACGTTTCTTTAGGGAACGAAGTCTCGACCCCATTCTCTTCTGCACATGGTCAACACATTCAAGTTTGGTAACTGGTTTCTCCCCATAAACTGAAGCTTCTGTAATTTCATTGTAAGCTTTACTATCTCCATCACCAAGAAACTCCACATACCGTAATGAATGTTGTTCAACTGATCGTTGAAAAATTCTCACACAGCCAGCAGCATCCATTGCACCCGATGAGCCTTCAAAATTTGCATGGCAATTGTGTTGATGGCCTTCCCACCAATGTTCAAATTCCTCTGAACCTTTCTTGCTGCTCCATGTAATACACTCCCTGCATTCTTTTGACATGATTTCAATGTCTAGCACTTTACCGGTAACCAACGACATACCAGTAACGACTCCGTAGGAAGATGAATATCCTCTTCGTCTCCAGGTCCCGTCCGCAGAAATACCAACATCATACACCCCATCTTCTTCTGGTTCATAAAACTCCTTTGTTTCCTCAGCTGCACTTTTCATGCTTGCTTTGGCAACAACTTCAGCAGCTCCATGAATAGCTGTCACATGGTCGGTGTATGAATTTGCATTCATAGGTGCCAACATGTTCATTGTACCACAAAACTTCACAAGCCCTTGGTGACCAACTCCAATGTTTCTCATTGCCAACACTGCCCTTCTATTTGCTTCAAAGGCTTTAGACTTATTATTCACCCGACTTGATGTATAAAAGCTCATAGAATATGAACACTTTTCGGCAGAACATTCCAGCGAAAGTTGTGACACAAGTCCCATCTTTGCAGTTATGTCTTCCTTCATAACAATGTGACCCGACTTACATTTAGGGCACAAAAAGGTGTTGAAAATAGACATCAAAATCGATATATCTATTAGTCGAAATCCATCAGTACATTCTTCTTCATCCTCACTTGATGAATCACAGTCAAGTTTCCTTTTTGAGGCAGGCAATGACCTAAATTCTGAAGCGCTCGATGATGTAACTTCATCTGAAGCAGCAGTCAAATTTGACGTACTTGTTTCAGCAATATTCTCCTGTTTAGAAGCTTCAGAATCAGGTAATATTTCGACTTTGACATGACGGTTGCCGTGAAACTTTCGTTTTTTCCCTTTCAATCGAATAAATTTCTTTTTATCAGGCATTTCTAACGAAAAATACAACTCTAACAAATTTGTTTTCTAGCTTTCTCTTTCAATTCGAATTTTGACTTGGTAACCAGGCAATGTAATTGTATCTACTTACCAGTCTTCTTTGTAAAGATGCGCACTTTTTACAAAACAACAATAAAAACCAGTATACAAAGCCGTTTCATAGGGTTATTTTGAAAAAAACAGATGCGGTTTCCATGGTTACGAGTGCAAAATATGATGGTGCATTTTATAAAACCCCCCAAACAACTGAAAATACCCTGATATTATTTAAAAAACCAATTGTATATGAAAGATTAGTGCTTGAACTTTCAAAAAATATTGTTTTCAAAAAATTCAATTTTTCTTATTTTTTTTCCTATCGAGCCACCTTATTATATGTAGTGTTTTATCTTTTTAAACAAGTGAATGTAAAACTAAAGTCCTACATTTATAAATTTTATGAAAAAACAAAAGTTTGGCAAAGATGAACAGTCAAACTTGCAGTTTTTAAAGATGTTTTGAAAAGTTTTCCCGGTGTGCATGCTCAAAAAGTGAGCTGTAAAGTGGAATCAAAATCACGTCAGCAAAAATTTCATCTTGCCACACAAGGTTTGAAATGCAGTAACTTATTTTTCCTTCGGTCAATTTTTCTGAATTTTTTTTTCAAAAGTACTAGTCATTTAGTTCAATATACTCAATTTTTGAAAAATTCTATAAAGCAGTTTTTGTGGTACAAATTTTGTGTGATATCTCAAAAGCTCAATTTATTACTGCACCTATTTTTTTGATATAATCTCGCACTCGATATTCCCTTTACCCAGTGGCGGCGGAACAGGGGGGGCTAGGGGGGCTAAAGCCCCCCAGAAGTAAAAGTGGGGGGCTTAGCCCCCCCAGAAAATTTTGTTTTCTCTGGAAAAATTTTGATAATTAAGGAAAAATGTAGGTTATTTTTGGAAAATTTAGGTATAAGGGGAAAAATTTGGGATATTTTGTGTAAAAATCGAGTATGTCCGGAAAAATTTTTTGTTATAGGTCCGGAAAATTTTTTTTTATCCCTTTTCTTGTATATGTCCGGAAAATTTTTTCTACCCCTAAAATGGTACACTGACCAAAATTTTTTTGGCGACGGGGGTGGGGGGGGGAGGTCACGGAAAAAAATTTAGCCCCCCCAAACTGAAATCCGTTCCGCCGCCCCTGCCTTTACCCCTACCAAATTTTAGAAACTTTGACCGAAAGAAATTTTAATAAATTCATTTTTAGTGTAAAATTTAATGTCTGACTGTCGCTTGGGCCACATTGTTACCATAGCAACACATAATTTAATTTTTTCGAACTAATGTACTTCAAGTATAAAGATTGCACAAGCGTTTATACTTTCAAAGACGTGCCCATTTTGCATAAATAGCAAATTATTTCGAATTCGCGTCGTTGTGAAGACCTTATTTTTTGCTGCCATTTCTCAAGAACTGTAGCAAGACACCTTAATGGCATTCAAATTTTGACATCCGTGGAATTGAAAAACGAAATAAATGAATAAATTTTGCATGATTAAATTTTAGAATTTGCACTATAAACTTTGTACTTTGATTCAATTCCTGATTAAATATTGTTATTACTTTGCTTTTGATTCTATATTCATTCGACCTATATACTTTAAAGCACACTGTAATTAGACACTGAGTTTCTCTAGTTTGAAAGAAAGCCTAAAATTATGTCTGAAATCTTGCTGCAGATTTTATATATCAAGCTTGCCTAACGTTAACCATTGGAATATTTAGACGGAAATTAACAAAACTTTAACTGTGGTATTGCACGATGACGACAAGAGTGCGGTTAGTTTTATTAAACAACCTTAATGCTAATTAAAAATCTTGTTTTCCGTTCGAAATTTGAAATAGCAGGCAAAAACGAGTTTGGGCTCATATCCATCATGATCAATGGCTGTCAAGCAGCCTAGTCCCAGTCGTTTTGAAGCAAGCGCGAGAAAAAACGTGGTTGTAGTACGAGACTGGGACCTAGGTGTGACGTCACCACTAAAGGTGCTTCAGAACGCCTAGCAGATTTCAGTATTTTTAATGTGGCGGAAAATTTATATTTACAAATAATCTTGTAAATTAATGCGACAATGTTCGTTGATCATGTTCGATGTCTACATAACCAAATTCAAACTGTATTAAAAATGTGCTCAATTAAAAAAATTTATATATACAAATTTACGATACTGAGCAATGGTCGTATAATCGTTTATGTTATTTATATAATAATAATAATAATAATAATCATAATATTAATAATAATAATAATAATAATAATAATAATAATAATAATAATAATAATAATAATAATAATACTAGGTTTTATTATCCAACTTTAGATAAAAAAATACAATGGATTTACATTTAAAAAATATTTACATATAGTACATTGTTAAAGAATTTACATCTATTAATAAGTTAATGAACAGGCCCTAGAGATGAACGAGTTCAGATATACTCGCAAGTTGTGATCAGCACTAGACCATACTGGTATACACAACTACGCTTTCTACTTGACAGGTTTAAGAAGCTGAGGAGATTGTAAACATGACTGTGTTGTCAAAACATTTTTAGTCGGAGACTCGGCATAATTTTCAAGCTTCCCGATATGGCTTTATATTTTAGTAAACACGAGTCATATTTAGCCCGTTATTTCATTCTGACAGTATGGTAGCGAAATGTTGCCTATTTCATTGTTCCGATAGCATTAGAGCAAAACTAATGACTTAATTATAAACGCAAAGGAAATTTCCATAACATTTTCTATTTACAAATGCGGTATGCTTGGTAACCTGGCCAGGGACCACTTTTTTGAAATCAGGGACCATTTTAACGAAATCTTCTAAGCTCCCTCGCTGAAGCGTTCCGCACAGGACACCCAGGCATAAAACGTTTAAGACTTATTTAAATATATTAAAGCAGCGAATAGAGAGAGAGCCTGGGACTAGGCTGGCTGTAAAGATAAAAAATCTGCGTGAACCCACGTTTGATGTAACATGAATATTTTGAATAATCCAAGATGGCGGACGGCCCACTCTTTTCAGTCAAAATATTTCAAGACCCAAGCAACATCTAAAAAAGCTGTAAATCTCTTTTACAGGAAAAAAAATATTAGCTGACATTGTCCTTTTTGTGGGTGTTTGAGCGATATATAGCATATCGAGTCCCTTGGTTCCTATATGTAAACTTCCATTTAGATAATGCATATATTATAATGCCTTTGTTTCACGGTTGACACTTCTTGACAGCCACGAATTCACGATTCTCGTGACTCTGACCTTGTTTTCATTTTCAGCACAATTCCCAAGACGTAGCTGACAACCTGGACTGGCTGTCCTCTGCCGTTTCTTTTTCAAGAATTTTCGTCTCTTTTCCATTCGTTTGAATCCTTTTCTAAAATAATATTAATGGTTTATTACATTTAGTAGATAGCTTAATAAGCTAAAATACAGTGTAGTTTATAATGATAGAACTTTTATCATGATAAAATTTAATGTACAAAAGTTTTAATACTACTATGATCTCTACTAAACTAAAGTTACTTTGTTGTAGAAAAGTCTTAACACTATGGTTATATTTACAGATAAAATGAGTCAGATTAATGTTAATTCAAACACTCAATAATTCATAAGCTTATTGGCAAATCGTGTCAACCATACATAATACATCACGTGCAGTGGCTTCAAACCTGTTAAAACACTCCTAATTACAATTCGTTATACAGCTAATTAAAAAAAGGTTGTCCTTCGAAAATCTCAAACCTTAAACTCTAAGCGCACAGAGTGTGATGGGTAACTTCTTTTTATTAGGGCTTTTGATTGGGCAAATAATCCTCGTACACTGCTAGTTGTACATCGTAAGTGCTTATTATCGGTCTTGCCATAAGTTATAATGCAAATTTCCCAAGTTTTAGGCCTTAATTTGGAAGTTACCCATTACACTTTGCGCGCCCAGAGTTTAAGGTTTGATGTTTTTCAAGGACAACCTTTTTTGAAACAGCTGTATAAAGAATACTAATTAATCAGTATTAATTGTAGTCGTGTCCTCATTAGTATTCTTTATGTAAACTAGAAATATATGCATGCAACAACCCCTCGCCTATATTCTCCAAACATTGTTTCAACATGGAGTATTCGTAATTACGCCAACATTGAACGCAAGCGTCATGTTTGTCATGGCAACACGATAATTTGTTAAAAAAATTTTGTACAAGCCTCAAACCTGCAAACAATAGATGAAACTTGAACACTTTTAAGTACAGAACTATGAATGTCTAAAATATATAAAGTAGGTATATTATTTTGGTTTCTATGTGCTTTATTTTAATGTAAAATTGAAAACTAAACTCTATGTAAAACATTTTTAAATGTGAATTGAAATTAACTGCTTCAGTTTGCGATCGTGATAACTTGAGCTCAACTTATTACTCGCACTTTGAAATGAAATAAATTTAATTCGTACAGAACGCTAATGAAAATAATTAAAAATAAACCCTAACAATTGAAAATAAACAAAAGTTAATTTAACTATGAAACTTTCGCATACAATCCATAGGAAAGACTTGAACAACAAGAACAAAGTCTATAATATTATACAAATTAAGTCATACATAAACAATTGAAACAAACTTGCCCTATATACTAAATCAATTCTTATAAATGTTTACGTTTAAAAATTGAAAAAAGTTTGATAATTTGTTATGTGAAATGATTTTCCAAGCTTTCTTTGTAATTTTGATATTTTCCCCTTCTTCACTCCTAGCAAACAGCCATATTTTGAGATCTGTGAGATGACCACCCATTGACTTCGCTAGTGCGTTCCTTTCCCCGTGTGTAAATAGCCGGGGGGGGATTAGTACCCTCGTCCCGGGCTAACGCCCGGAACGGTGCTCCGCGCCGTTGACTCGGGGAAAATACTAATAACAGGGCCGTAGCTAAGCATGCATAGTTGGGGGGGTGTAGGCCAAAAATTTCCGAATGACGAAAAAAATTTCCGAATATTTCATGGCATACAAGCCACGAAGGTGTTTGTTATCCGGAAAATGAAAACGCAATTTACAAACAAAAATACTCATATTTTACGCACAGACATTACAGAAACGTGCAGTTCCGTACAGTAGCGTGCAGTTCCGTAGGAAGTTCTTTTTTATAGGGGGTGGCGAGGGCCGAAGGCCCGAGGAAATTTTTAAATTTAGAGTCTCTGAAATGCTATTTCGTGGACTTTGGGGGAAGTTTTGACAGAATTCTGATGGTCAGAAAACAGAGTTTTAGCACGTCGAAATTTACAATTAATTTGCTTATAATTTAGAAGAACTAAATGGGCGAAGGCGTATATGGGTAATACGATTTTTTTGGGTTTGTCATGGGTAATGTAGCCGCTTAAAATTAATCCGGCAATTGTCAGTATTTTAAAGATATATTGAGGGATGCCCCCCTCCCCTCCCCTGGGAAGTAAGAAACCGAAAAACATTTACCGATCTACGATTTGTTAAATGTTATCCATGTAAATGCCGTGATTTTGTAAATCAGTTTATGATGCTGACAATACAATTTGAATATTTTCTCTGTTTAAACAACTAAAATTTTGTTATACTATTACTGCCGTAATTTTCCGAATGACCAACCTGATTTTCCGAATATATTAATTCCTTAAAAAGTTGGGGGGGGTTAACCACCCCCCCCCAATACCCCCCTTCGCTACGGCCCCGGACAGCCTGTTGAACTAATTCTGCGGAGATAGAGAGTTTTAGATTGACGTATTTTTGTAATTCGTATTTCCCGCTAACGGCTAAAAATCACGGCTAAAAATCACATGACAGCCATTTTGCTGTCAGGTTACACGTTCGAAGTAGACGTTTCTACGCGAGGGAGGTAGGTAGTTTCCGGTAGGTAGTTTCCCTCAAGGTTCCATGCATTTTTTGTTATTTTTCTCGCGTATAAACATGGCACTTTAATATGTTTATCATCACTATGACTTTCTTTCTTGCATAAAATAAGGATATGAAACTACTATCTTCGACTGAAATATTGTGTCGAATTCAGTCGATGGCAATAATAAAACAAAATTGCGGGAAAAAGCATGGCCCAAATGCATAGCTGATTTACATTGACATTGTTTTTGTTGTTATTTGTTTTTCTCATAATTTTCAGATTTAAAGTTTTACTCTTAGGCTAATTTTGTTGCGAATTTTACATAACATTTCTTTGTGTCTAATACAGAACTTGGAAAAATATCAGGACCAGTGACCACAAAACCCTTTCGAATTCGTTGGCCAAGCATACAACATGACCTTGCATTGGCTAGGGAGGTTGCAAGCTGCCGGACACAAAAGCCGATGGATTGGGATGTTATTGCCCACCGACTAAGTTCACATTTTGGAAGTTAAACTGACCTTAGGCCTAAATCTAAATCGTTTTTAAAATCCGAACTGCAAACATTGTTTTAATGTTATATATTGTAACTTATTGTGAGGGGCCCCATAATTGGAGATTATCTATGTGGCTAGTCCCTGCCCGAATTGTATGTAAATTTTGCAAAGTATTAGTCTTATTTATGTCTGTTATGTTTGGCGAATCTTGTAAAATAAAATAAAATAAATAAAATAAACTTGTAACGGATACGTCGACTACCGGTTTGCGGTTTAATTGTCGTAATAATGACGAACGTCAATCTAAAACTCTCAAATGGGCACATGTCAATCACTTGGTAATCTTCTGGAGGAAAGGACTATTTAATTTTTTGGAAAAGAGATCGCGCCAGTTTTAAGCGCAAAAGACCTCGGGTTAACTCTAGATAATCATTTGAATTATGATATACACATCAGCAATGTTATATCATTAGCTATGTCCAGGGGCGTAGGAAGCACCTGGAGTTTGGGGGGGGCACCGGCTTGTAGGGGCACATTACTATCGGAAAGGGCACCTAAAAAATTTTTCCCGGAAATGTACGGAATAGTGGACCCCCCCATATAAGTGACGTAAGCATGATTGACGTTTGCATAAAAGAAACATTAAGAGCATGTTGATGGGGGGTCGTTTATTATTAGATTATGTGAGACGAGACAAAACAAAACAAGTGATTTGTGAGCGTGAGAATTCTATATTTTTATACAAATAAATGTAATTTGTCTTTGTGATTTCTGTGGTTGTATACCTGTTAACAATTTAACAAGAGAAGTTCGGTATATAAGTGGTGCCGTGACAAGGATTGAACAAAAAATCGAACGGTAATTTAAATATTTAACGAGTTATTTAACGACAACAACACATTATTTGGTCATGTAAATACGAGAATTTATCGATTTGTACGACGTGGAACATATAACAATGAGCGAGGAGGCAGCAGAAAAACAGAAGGAGGTTGAAATAGACAAGGAAATCGAAAAACTAAAGTACTATCTCGAGCCAATTGACGATATTATTGAAGAAGGCGATTACGCAGAGATCGAAGTTGTAAAGAAACGAACAGACGCCATATTTGACAAAGTAAATAATCTTGTTGCAAGTGTACAAGAGCTTAAAATTGATCGAGGAGCTGAAACTCAGAGAGCAATACGACAATGGAAAAAGGACACGAAGGATAAGTACGCGCAATGGGTGCCTAAAATGAACAAGCTTTCGCAAATTCTTGAAAAAAGGCAGAGGGAAATTGACGACGAAGCAGAGCGACGTAAACAATATGTGCAACGCGAGAAGGATGAACAACGTTTGATCGAATTACGAGCGCGAGAAAAGTTGATGTGGGAGGAAAAGTTCGCCGCTGAGCTGCAAATGACGGAAAGAAAAATCGAAATGGAGAAATCTGCGAAAAGCAGTCTAGCGAAACTTCCTCAACTGAAAATCACTGCATTTAAAGGAACTGCCGCAGATTGGGTTCGTTTTGAGAATATGTTTCTCACACAAGTCGATAAAAGACCCATCTCAGATGAAGAAAAGTTTGGATATCTCCTTGAATCAGTTGTGCCAAAGGTAAGAGATCGCATATCAAATCTAAAACCAAGTACTTTGGGATATAAAATGGCATGGGATCGACTTAAGCAAGAATATGGCCAAACCAAATCGGTAATTAATGCACATTTGGACGAAATAATCAATCTAGATGCGGTGAAAGGGTCAAGCTATGAAAAGGTTCAGGAGTTTTATGAAAAACTTAGCAATAACTATGACGCCTTGCAGACTTTGGGACAGGGAGATATGTTGCAAGGTTTTGTAATGACCACCCTAAATAAGTTGCCCCATGTCAAACCTGACATCGTGAGAGTGGATGAAAAGTGGGAAGATTGGAATATGGAAGATCTTATTAAAAATCTACAAGCTTGGTTGAGGAGAAATAAGGTAGATGTGAGTTCAAAACCCCCAAATGATAGACGTAGGGATAGAAATTGGTTCACTCGCAAGAATGAAGGAAAACAAAACCCACATTGCATGTTTTGCCAAGAAGAGCATTGGAGTGATGAGTGTAAGACACTTTCGACAATGGAACAAAGAAAGAAGTTTTTCGTCGAAAAGAACTTGTGTTTTAATTGTGGGCGAGCAGGACACCGGGGAAACCAATGTCGTAGTCGTGCCTGTTTTAAATGTGGATCGAAACACCATACCAGCTTGTGTGACAAGAAGAAACCAGATAAACCAGCTACAGAGCCTGTGTTACATGGTTACAGTACATTTGTAGAAGAAAAGTCCCTCCCAGCCATAGTTCCTGTCAAAATAGGCGAAGAAACATTGTGGGCGTTTCTTGACACAGGATCTGGAAGGAATTTCATCTCTCGGGATGCAGCAAAGAAACTGAAGTTAACCCCAGTTCACCATGAGTCTAGAGAAATTGTAACATTGAATGGTATCAGTAAGCAATCTATGCCAATCTACCAAGTTAGTATTAATTCCCTGGATGGAACTGTGCAAGAAGAGATTCAAGTAACCGGTTCCAAGATGCGCGACTTCACAACAGTACAAAGACCCGACATTAGCCAGTTGAAACAGAAATTTTGTCATGCAAAGGATAAGATGTTCTACATGGTGCGTTCAGGCAACTATCCAATACACCTCATCTTGGGAGATAAAACTTACAGCAGAATCAGAACAGAACAAGTGCTCAAGGGAAACGAAGGAGATCCAGTAGTCGAAGAAACCACTTTCGGTTGGCTTATCCATGGGGGAGATGATTACAGTAGCGACCAGTGCATGTTTGTTCGGGAGACCAATGAGTGTGAGCAGCTTTACAGTTTGGATGTACTCGGTGTTGAGGACCGCAGCGAGAAAGACCAGATGGAGGTGCTGACTGACTTTCGAGAAAGTGTAACAAGGCAAGAGGACGGTCGATATGAAGTAAGTATACCATGGATTCCTGGAGCCAGATTGTACGGTACTAACGAACAGCCGAGCAGAATACGCCTAGCCAATGTCAACAAGAAGTTGAGTAAAGATCGATCATTAAAAGTAGAGTATGAAAAGATAGTTAAAGATCAGCTTGCCAATGGCATCGTAGAAAAAGCCCCAGAAAAGCCAGCAGGAAAACGTACATATTACATGCCTCACAAGCCTGTGATCAGGGAAAACGCAACAACAACAAAGATCAGAATGGTTTTTGATGCTAGCGCTAAACCAGCCCCATTGGCTAACAGTATTAACGAATGTATGTTCACTGGACCGTCCTTGCAACCACTACTTTGGGACATCTTGATCAGAGCGCGTATGACACCAAATCTACTTCTGGCAGATATCCAGAAAGCCTTTTTGCAAATTGGTGTTAAGGAAACGGACAGAGATGCTTTTCGATTCCTGTTCGAAATCGATGGAAAAGAGGAACATTTCCGGTTTGCAAGATTACCATTCGGCGTCGAAGCCAGTCCCTTTCTGCTTGGAGCAACGTTGGGATACCACCTTGAGCAACAGCCGACAAGATTTGAGGAAACTGTGACAGCTCTTAAAGAGAATACATATGTTGATAACATCATGAAAACTGGAAGTGATACTGACGACTTGAGGAAATTTAAAGAAGAAAGCTCCATCATTCTTGAGGATGCCAAATTCCCAATCCACAAGTGGGAATCAAACATCGCGTGCCTCGAAGACGAAAACATGCCAAACCCAAGTAAAATACTCGGACACGTCTGGGATAAACAAGAAGATACATTAGAATTCGAAGCAGCAACCATGCCTGAGAACCAACCAATAACAAAGAGGAGCATTTTGAGTCGGTTAGGAAGAGTCTACGATCCTTTGGGAATGGTATCGCCTACCATGGCTGAGGGTAAGAACATATTTCGAGATGCCTGTGAAGAAAGAAAAGGTTGGAACGCTGAAGTGTCAGAATCCTTGAAAAGAAAGTGGATCAAATGGAACAATCAAATGAAGAATGTTAAAGTTCCTAGAGCTATAACTAAGAAATCGGACGTGATTGAAGGCATTCAACTCCATTTGTTTGCAGATGCTAGTAACCTTGCTTGCTGTGCAGCAACAGTCGCAGTGGTAGAGCACAAATCAGGAACTGTGAAAGGTCTGTTAACGTCCAAATCTCGAATTTCCAAAAAGAACACCACAATACCGAGGTTGGAACTTGTGAGTGGTCAAATGGCGGCGAACATGGCAAGGAATTTATACCATGCGCTACTGCGATTGCCTGTTAAGTCTATCATCATCTGGATGGACAGTATGGTCGCGCTTTACTGGTTAAGTAAC